CAGCAGAGGAGGTTGCTGCCATCTTCAATGTTCAGTCCAGCGGAGGTGTGAGCCAAATGATGGGAACTAGTATTGACCCCAATTTTCTTCTGGATGAAAACCAGTCATCTGCATTCCCACAGAGCCAGCTTGTCAATTGGCAGGAAGCTGACGACACAATCAACAGAGCCATGTACTTTGTACGGAGACATAGAAGACCTACCAAACGTGAAAGGACTAATGAATCACAGAGCGTGATTAAGCTGCTGAAACACTGGACCAGACTCACCATACAGAATGGCATGCTGTACAAGGCAAGGAGAGATCCTCACATGAACAAGAAAATCCTCCAGTTCATAGTACCTGACTCAATGAAGCAAAAAGTTCTCCATGGTCTCCATGATGCAGCAGGTCACCAAGGCCAGCACCGTACCTTGTCTCTGGTGAGACAAAGATTTTTCTGGAGTGGCATGGGCCGTGATGTAATGAACTATGTTCGGTGCTGTCAGCGCTGCATTGTAGGAAAGACAGTGGAACCGCACAGCCGTGCACCACTCCAAAACATAGTCACTACTGAGCCTATGGAATTAGTCTGCATAGACTTTTGGACTGCTGAGCAAGGGAACAAGTCTGTGGATGTTCTAGTTGTGACTGATCATTTTTCCAAGATGGCACATGCCTTCCCCTGTAAGAATCAGACTGCCAAGGAAGTTGCTCGTCGTCTCTGGAACAACTTCTTTCTCATTTATGGGTTTCCTCGTCGTATACATTCTGACCAAGGGGCCAACTTTGAGAGCAAACTAATCAAAGAGCTTCTAGAAATGGCTGGAATACAGAAATCCCATACAACTCCCTATCACCCCATGGGGAATGGTGTTGCAGAGAGATTCAACAGGACTCTGGGAGACATGGTCAGATCCCTTCCTCCTCAGCCAAAAGCAAAGTGGCCACAAATGCTGCAACTACTAACCTTCTGCTATAACTGCACAGAGCATGAGACAACAGGGTTTGCACCATTCTACCTGCTATTTGGAAGGATCCCTTGTCTACCTGTTGACGTGATGTTTCAACATACCCTTACCGACAACACTGTTGTCAACCACTCAGACTTTGTTTCCCACCTAAAAAAAGATCTACACAAGGCTGCTCAAATTGTGCAGAAAAACAGTCTCAAGGAACAGACTCGCCATGCCAACCTGTACAACCGTAAGATCAAAGGCTCACCTCTCGTCATTGGAGACAGAGTCCTGATTGCCAACAGAGGAGTGCAAGGAAAACGCAAGATTGCAGACAAGTGGGAATCTACCCCTTATGAGGTCATATCAGTCAGGCCTGATATCAATGTCTACAGAGTTAAAGATGTCCTAACAGGCAGAGAGAGAGTTGTCCACAGAAACCTGCTACTCTCTGTTAGCTTCTTGCCATGTGAGAATGCTGAGGACCACGAATCTGACAGTACTACTGCTGCGCATGGAAGTGGTCTACGTCCAGACACACCTGATGAGCCGGAGAACAGTGACAGTGACAGTGACATTCTACCCTCAGACATGATGACAGCCCCTTCCACAGACATGTTCGCTCTGACAAATACCTCACAGACGTTGACGCTCCTGTGACGGCTGCTCCAAATGATGACTGTTCAGACATTCCAGGCTCCTCACCTCAAATTGTTTCTACAAAGCTTGACGTCGTATTCTTAGGGACCGTAGTTCCATCAGGCCTCCCAGACGTCTTATTTGTGAGATGAATAATCAAGAAGTAGATGAAACTTCTTTATCTGCAGTGTCTGTTAGTTCCCTAATTTCATTTTTTCAAATGCATTTTCAGTTTAAGTAGCAGAGTTAAAACCGTGTTAACCATAGAGGTGCTTGAGTAGTGCTTTTAGGGTCATAGGAACAGTGTTACATTTTCAAAGGTGTAATGGGCACTTTTGAGTCTGTGTTTAGTTAGGAATTTGATCAACTCCTTTCTTTACATACTCCCTTTTGGCAGAGTTTTTGCACTGACAGGTATACCCACTTTCGTTCCTAGTGTTGCACTTTTTTTTCTTTTTTTTTCTTTTTTTGTTTTGTTTTGTTTGATCATATTTTTCATATTTAGCAGAATTTCACGGGGTGTATGTAACGGGTATTAAGATGAAATTCTTGCTAAAATATGTTTTGTAATTTACCATGTGATGAATGGTTTTTGGCGCCCCCTACTGGTTGCCTATAAATACAAAGCTAAACCGTAAATTCCACGCAGTCTGTTGAGCGCTCTACTGTGGTAAGTCACCAAATCCAGTTCTTTTCTGAATAGTCATAGTAGATGTACTCAAAGACTGACGTGGAGTTTTATTGCAGTATGCGGAGAGCTGATGGACCAGTAGTGGAGCTCACTGTACTAATTTGTGTTGACCATTTATTACAGGTAATTATATTATATTATTTATTAGTAAATTATTTTGTCAGTTATGTTTGTCAGTTTTTCTTCAGTTGAGTTTCGGTTTGTCTGTTGTATTGTCGGTTTGCTGTATTTACCAGCTTGTCAGTTTGTTTGTTCCCTGTTTCAGTTAGAAGTTACTGTTAATTAGTTTTATTAGTTAAATTTGATTGTTGTCTGTCTATTTTTTTTCTTTATTTATAGGAAATAGACCAGATTGTGTTAAATTAATTTTAAAGAAGTATTAATAATCAAATATCACTATACGATCATTTGTTAGAAAAATATGTTGTTAAGCCAGATTGTAATGATTTTTGTGACGCAGTCTGTTGAGCGCTCTACTGTGTATGCGGAGAGCTGATGGACCAGTAGTGGAGCTCACTGTACTAATTTGTGTTGACCATTTATTACAGTTATTACAGAAAATTCAACCAACTGGCCTCCTCTGTGTGTATGACGGGACGGGCATAAAGGGGAAGCTGTTACATACATTTACAATAATTATATAAATTCATATAATTTATATATGAATATATCAATTTATATAGAAATGTATGTGTTTATGTAACTCATATATTAAATTATTTATACACATGTTTACAGAATAGCCAAAACAGTTTTGTTTGACTGTTCTGTAAACTCTGGTTGCTCCTCCCAGTCTTGGCCAGGATTTTCTTGTAAAATAATTTTCAACCTCAATGGTATTTTCCAGGTAAATTAATTGTTAATATTAATGCAAATAATAAAAATGATACATATTTCAAACTGAAATATTTATCAATCAGTTTGAAATGATAAACTGCTCTTCTCCATTGAAAATAAACAAAGACAGACAAAACAACACCAACAAAAATTCTAAAACCCCAAACTTTATTAATCATAAGAAATCAAAATTAATACACCAAAATTATTTAGCCTCTGTTTATAGAGTGCAGAATTTGGTGAAATGAAAGAGAAGAGTCACTTTCTTCCACATAAGGCCAATGAGGACATTTTTATATTTATAGAAAATATAATGAGTTCAAAATAGTGCAACACTTCAGACATTTAAGAAACGAGAGGAAAGGTTAGATCATAAATAATTTTTGAATGTAAATGAACAACCATATTGCATTTGCATTTGTAAATACTGAACATTATTGGAAAAATAAAGCACCCTTTGTGTCAAAAAGAACGAAACAAGCAAAAAAAAAGTCAATGTATGGTGAAATATTGCATAAATATAGCTGTGATTAACCATCCTTTTCCTTGCAATATTCTTTTTTTCTTTAGAATGTTTCCAGGACTCTCCCTGAGCTCTATGTTTAAAGAAGATAAATTACACTGAAATCAGTTCAATTGGTATACTGTGACATATATGTGACAGTAACAACAATCACTGCAGCATGCAGTTGTATGCTTTACATAACGATAAACTACATTTCTTTAGTAGTGATAAGCAAAAGTAAGATTAACTAAAAATAACACTGGGCTAAATTCTCAGAAGAGGAAACTAAAGAGATTGGTAGAAAAACAAAAGCTGATAGCTTTTGATTAGCCTCTCAGAGCATGCTTTTACTCTGAAAATATTGATGCACAGGTTCAACAGTCCATTAAATGCACTGAGTGAACATCAGATAAGTGGGGTTTAACACTAATCGAAATGCACTGACAGGCTACAGTAGAATAAAAATCACTTTATCCTGCTGGATTCACAAAGACACGTATGAGCTAAATACACAACAGCTTGACAGGAGGTTGTTTAAACAGGTCGAATTGAATGTTGAATTATTTCAAAATTGGAATTGATAGATTTAAAAAAAAACATATGTAAATAGCTGTACATTTTGCATACTATATGAAGCCAAGATCTAGGTAAACCTTAGGTAATCTGAGTGTTGTGACCGAAAAAAGCTCCTCAGCGACATCTAATGGACGGAATGTTGAACTGACCAAATAGTTTTACATCAACAGTGGCGGAAGTCCTATTGTGCAGCAAAATATGAGGTAGGCATGTAGAAAGGCCCAGATACACATGTACCGTATTCAAATACAAACGTATTTGAATTCGGAAATGTTTAGAAGTCTGGGGGACCATTTTTAAATTTGGACATTTTTAAACTATTATAAATGATGGCCTGAATTAAAATTACAAATGCAGTTCTTAACAAACCCATCTTTTTCAGCTCAAATGAAAATCAATCGGGCATTTTCCACTTCTAGTGAAAAACAGTAGCTACCCGTTAGTTGATAATACTGTAATTTTAAGGACTGTTGCTCTGATTGTTTTGTTTTTTTCTGACTGCATTGTGAGTCGTCAGCACATGATGTAAACTTAGACAGCTGTAAATATACAAAACATAACTCTGGTGTTTCTAGTAAAAAAAACTGTTAACAGTAGAATGAAAACAGCAGGTTTACGACAAGAAGAGTTTGCTGAACTACTGTTATTATTTGAGCGTTTTTACTCAAGTGTGACCTCTCGTAATGAGGAGTAAATCGTGAAGCAGTGCGTGGATCCACCGGCAGATGGCGCTCTTGGTCCGTATTCCCACAGCAGCAGTAAATCGTTATTTCTAAAGGGCTTTTTCTCTCTCTCTCTCCTTCCTCGTGGGTTACAGACCGCTATTCTGGGATCCGGTCAAGTGCGGCCTTATAAAAAGCAGCGTGAACGCAGCACAAAGAACATAGATTTCAAGGTGAAGGGAGCTGAATGGACCGCGGACACATTTGGATGTAGATTTGTGCCACACAAAGTCCACCGTAGTAGGTGAAACTGTGATAAACTTTGTTTTGCAACACACTACCGGCTTCTTTGGGAGACACCACGCTGACGGTGAGATGAAATGAATAAATGCGTTGCGATCGTCTTTTTCTGCACGCTATTCTTGCTGCAGTTTATTATCGGATTGTTGAAACAAGCAGCTCTGGATTTGTTTTAGAGCGTTTTAGTAACCTGCTGCACAGACGCTTTTGCAAAGTGCGCATCCTTTTGTACCTTTCTTGTGTAGGATTTCTTCTTTTTTTTTCAAACATGTTGTAATTTTTCTCTTAAACCCTTGAAAAAGTATGTAGAAAATTGGGTTGAGCCCCAGCTTGTGTGGTAAATCCAGATATATTTTTAGTCATTCTGAGCATGCAAGAGGCTGGATGTGAGAAGCAAAACAAGTTGCCCATTTAAAAGTGGGGCCAGGATTCTGTGTCCTGCCAGCCATGGTGGTTAGAACTAGAAATCCTGGCAGGATGGGGTAAAGGACACACTCATTCCTTCATTTTGATTAAGCTGTATGAAGGTAAGCCCTCATCTGTTCCACTTACATCATAATAAAAAGCCTAATCCATGCCTTGCTACAACAACCTGCTGGCAGTTTGAGCCTGAGGTGATCTGCGTCTACACGGAAGAACTGGGAACCCTATTTGGCACCAGTTTGGCAGCATCAAAGTCATGTCTGAAGTGGGATTTCATGTGTTGCTCACCACACTGCTCTCTGGAGCTTTGATGGTGGCAGTTTTAGCTCTTCTTTGCTACTTCACCTGCAGACTGGCAGGATCGCTGCCTCTGGGTGGACCTGGACGCTTCTGAGGACTTGTGCTGCTGCAGACACAACTGGCAAAGTGCAACTGAGGAATGGTAAAGAAAACAACCTGGCATCAGTGTTCGGTGCTGTTTATTTCCAACATGCCTGTTTCTCATTAAACCTACTAGAGTCTGGTCCTTTTCCCAATTTAGGTTAGGTTTTGGAAGGTGCTGACAAGATTTTCTCTCTGGGTGTTTTGAAGTTTTATTAGAGGCAGCTATAAAGTGGGGAGGTTTGGTACGGTACCTAATAGAGCAGAGACTGGTGAGAAATACAGTAATTATTGAGTAATCTTAACAATTTAATGAAGAACTTGACTGTTAGTTACAAAGAGTCTGACATTAAAGAGGATTGCGTGCAGCTCAACAGGAACAGGAAGCTATAAACAGAATCAAGAGGTTTCTCAGCAGACCTGGGTAAAAATATTTTTGTCTTGAAATAATTCATATCTAGAATCTTATATTTTATTTTCCTGACATAGGCGTGACCAGTCAATCAGATGCTGTTAATCGGCTTTGTTATGGCTCTTAAACCTTTCAGTGCCCTGGAGCTCAATCCCATTAAAATGACCTTGGCCATAAGCACAAGGAAGAAAGGAGGAGGGTGTGGATAATTATAGTTGAAAGGAAGGCCAGACAAGGACCCTATAAGGGCCCCTGTTGTGGTCATAACTGCTGCAGAGAGGCCTCAAGCTCAACTTTAGCTGTTCTGATATTTCTCCCTAAGACCTTTTGGGGCTTTAAGGATCTACTTTTGATTGATTTTTTTTTTTGTTCTGCTTTTATGACTAGAAAAGGCAACATTCAGCTTGGACATGTTGCTTCTCTGTATTCCCTTAAAGTTAAAATGAAAATTCCATTTACTTTATTTTTTATTAAACCTGTATTTAACCACAGGTTAGTAATTAAGAACAAATTCTTATTTATTTTTGTTGTTTACAAGAATCTGGGAGGTGGAGAGAACAGGAAACATAGCAGATAAATCAGCATACATTTACAATAAACGAACATTAACTACACTTTTGCGGTAATACAAAAAGTAGATACTTTGACATACACATGGAAAAAAGTTCAGCATGAAATACTTAAGCTGAAACGTGCAAGTTTCAGACAACACATTCATTGACATATTTTAAAATTCTACTGATAAAAAAGGTCCCCAGCTTTAAGCTTTTTATATTTTTATTTTTTTTTTGCTGCAGCATTATGGAAAGAAAGTTCTTCATATTTTGTTTCAATTGAGCATGATGTGTTGGCTTGAGCGTGTGCTGCAGGGAGTCATAGAAGCTTGTAACAAACTGTAAAAACAAACCTAATCGAGACTTAAGAACAAGCACATATTGCTAGATCTTCCTTTAGTGTTGAAAGTTAAGAACAGATTACTGACACTAGTTATAAAACACAATGATTGATTTAAACTGTCAACTTTTTAACTGATGGTAAATGTACAACTTTAATGAAGCAAAAAAATGGGTGCTCAAGTTTGAGTTTAGTTTGGACTTTTTATTTTTGTGCACATAGTCAAAATATTATTAATATAAACACAAATGTATCGACTAACACTGATAGCCCAAAAAACATCAACAGAGTAATTACAGTAGCCTGCAGTGGTTCCTGAGCTATTTCTGAACATCCTAGACAATTTCCCTTTAATTTGAGGTAAACGATTTCAAACAGATGGTTGGAAACCTGGAGACAATTTGCTGCTCCAGTGGGACAGTGATTCCAAATACATTATCAAGCTAGTTTTAAAGCATTGTCATATTAACATCAGCATCCTCTTCCCTGAAATTAGACTTGTTGAAAATTTTAGCGTAAAGTGTATCCAAACTTCTGACCTAAACTGTGTTGATTTTATACATGTGACCAAAGAAACATCTCTAGGGAAATAAGAAGAGTGTTGTTGGCAAAATACGGCTTGACGTATCAAAGCTCTGCAAGCTCTTCAAGCTCGTCAAAACTAACCGTTACAACATAAACATACCAATTTTACTCCACTTCTACTAAATCTAAAATCATCCACATAGACTGAATTATATCCTACTTGCCAATCTGAGCAGTGTTATTTGCTAGATACAGGTGTCTTTAGTCAAATCATCTTGGAGTAAATAAATATTAACCCAGTGTGTCAGAGTCAGTTATACAAAAATGACACATATTTAATTACGTGCCTCTGATCTTCTTTTTTTTTTGCAGCTGTGACATCGCTGCTGACAGCCTTCCTCTGCTTCCCAAAGCGGCATCTTATAGCTGTCTAGAGTTACGCATCAGCCACTTTTAGACCACAATATGAAGACATCAGGCCTGCTCATCGCTTGCTCTTTTCTGATCTCTGAATGCCTGGGGATGCCGCAATTCCCTGGTGAGTTACTCTGCAACAGAACAATAAAAAGAAAAGCTGTCTGTAGCTAAATAGATATCGTTCCTGAAGAACATATTATCAGGACTGGAGGCATATGTTGTAACTTTTCAAGGAAGTTGATTTTTGTTCACATGGACATCCTGTTTAGAACACTGGATGTTTCACCCGCTGAAAGCAGTTTGCCAGCGCCACAGTACATAACAGGAATTCATTGTGTTAATGCTATTACAAATACTGGGCATCCTGTTGTCCTGAGGTTTGGGTATTTTAGGGTAACAGTTGTCACTGTTTCATGACAGATAAATCCAAACAGTCCAATTTTAGAATTTGTTATTCCGTTTTGAGCTTCAGTGTTTCATCTATTGTTGTGTGGCTATGACATGGTTATACTCAAGCTCCCTAAACTCTGGGATTAAAAAAAAGAAAAAAAAGTCAATCAACATCAGAATCAGGTGAATATTTCACAATAATTTTGGCTGGATTTCTCTTAGACTATCTTATGTTTTGATGCAAAGGCAGGTCACTGCCTAGAAGTTGGTGAACTTACTGAATGGATTCAAGACTTTTTCAACTAAGAAAAGCAGTTCAGGTTTTTGAAAATTGAATTTGATGCCTACCACCTGTGATTAGAACAAATATATCGGTTCTGCTGCATTACATTAATTCTTGAAATGTCTTGTTTCTTCTGAACAAATGTTTCGTTTTTGGGTTTCTATCATATTGGAGAAACTCCCTACAGGAAATGGAACTAGGTAAATATTACACAACCTTTTTTCCTCTAATGACCCTAATGAAGCTAGGGGTCTGCAACTTGAATTTTTAACTCACTCTTAAAGTAAAATTGTAAAAGCAAAAAATTAAATTGTTCCAAATACTTATGGTTTCTGTACCAGAGCAGTCCTTGATCCATAGCAGCAGCCAGTGCCACTTCCACAGGGACATTGGTCCCTGTTGTCCCTTATCAAGAACTGCCCATGCATGTGACTTTTCAGGGCCCTGCACAGTTGCAATTTTACAAAATCTTTCCTGTTATTTTAGTTTGGTATGAATCTAACCAGAGTTCTTCACTTATTTACCCAGAACAAGAGAAAAATCCCAAGTTCTGGAATGACTGGGCTCAGAAGACCTTGAAGGATTCATTGGAACAGGATTTCAGTAATAAGAAAGCAAAGAATCTTATCCTCTTCCTCGGAGATGGTAAGCCTCTGATTGTATATTTTGTGTCTTGCAAAAAGTTACAACAGTTTCCTTGACAAAGTTGAATGAAATTTGAAATTGATTGATCTGAATTTTAGAAAGCTAACTACCAAGCTTCCAGGGTTTTGGGTGTTTTCTTCTTATTATTTATTTTATTATTATTATTTTTTTTTTGCATTTCTAAAGACTCAAAAATGCTCAGATGTCTTTAATAATTGGTGGGAAGATTGAAGGATTCAGCTTTGAAAGATGAGGGAAATGTTTTCTAACCTCAATAGTGAATCAATAGCAGTGGGAAAAGCTGCTGAGCTTCCATGAAACCGTTGGGCTTCTGTTTATGTAGGGATGCTCTGGTTCTACAACAACATTCATCCTTCATTGGGCCTCTGATGTCTCTCAGCCCTGCATTCACAGCATGGCATTCTTGCTTATTGCTGCATTCATAATCACATTAGCTCTGTCTTAGAATACCATAGAAAATGTTCATACTTGTTTAACTGGAATATATTTATTTGCTTTATACAGGTCAACTGATAACAATCTGTTCTTCGTGCTGACACTTAACAGAAAGTTTCTTTGTAGACCACAGGATTTCTAAAACACACATGACTTCAAATATACAAAAAGAACCCTCAGGTCAAACAAGAGTTTACAGCCACACTTTTTAGGAAATAAGCATTTGCTTTCCATCATCATCATAATCTTCATCATTATCATCTTCATCATCATCATCATCATCATCATTTTTAGCATGCTGTAGACAGTTATTTTAAGTATTCAGTTAAAAAGATGAACAGCAAAGCCTTCAAAATGCCGACTTCTTCTAAGTTTAAACACAGTATGTAAATAATATATTGTTGGGATTTTGTCTGTTTTCTTTGTTAGAGACATCTGTACAGACTCCTGCAGATTTTACAGTCTCTAATTCTTTTGCAATCCCTTGAGGCAATCCGAAGCAAAAAAAATATTTTGCCTGACAGCAGTCAAGATGCTCTAAAATGTCAGTAAAAACAAAAATGATGTGTTGCTAACTGAGAATGATGAAACGGGGTGTGAAAAGTATGAATGCTTAGGAATCTGTGTTCAGACTCTCCCTGTTTATTAGGCAAAAATCAATCCTAAAATTCAACCTACTTTTGGTGTTCAGGAATGGGCGTCCCCACAGTGACGGCAGCTCGGATACTGAAGGGTCAGTTGAGTGGACAAAGCGGCGAAGAGATGCAGCTGGAGATGGACAAGTTCCCTTTTGTCTCTTTGGCCAAGGTCAGATTCTCATATAATATTGAATAGTCTGAGTCAAAACATACCAGGCATTATTCCTAGAAAAGGTAACTGAATAGTTTATTAATAAGGGCAAAATGTCCTGCAACCTTTTATAAAAAGAGACAAATTCCAGAACTTTGAACTTAAGAAAACCCTTATTTTAAACCTATTTAGGATGCTTTCAAAACTCAAATCACAATGCTACATGCATTGTCAGTTAGGCCTCATGTAATTCTTGTTTTTTAAGTCAGTTTTTTCCCAAACTTCCATTTACATAAAACATAAAATAAATGAACAAATTGACAGGTGGTTTACACATATCAAAAGCATATAATTAAAATTACTATACAAGTAATATAGGGGATTCCATTTCAAAGCATTTAAGCTGAAAATAAATATGTTGTAATGCAATAAGCAAAATGTGTCTGGATAAGCATTTTAACTGACTAGAAAAACCAGTGTGAAAATTGAGATCTGTAATTTGTAAGGAAAATGATATACATATAGCTATTATGAAACATGTTTAAAAATGGTGAAACATGCAGCTACAGAGTTTGAGAACTCTTAGAATTAACTTTTTATATATTATTTCACCAACTTTGGCAGCACAAACATGATTTAATTAAATGTGCATTTTTATGTTAAACACTTACAGTCTGTCTGAAGCTAATGTACTTTCTCTTTGCAATGAAATCAAGACAGGGAAACTATGACACATTTCACTCTGCACATTTATGTGAGATGTGGCCTGATACTACATCCTGTTATTTTCTGTTGACTAGATGCAATGATAAACTTATTTGCAGTCCTATCACAACCTGATGAGGCTAACAAAAAATAATACAACTAAATTATTGACTTGTGTTTTTTTGCAGACATACAACACTGATGCTCAGGTTCCAGACAGTGCGGGCACAGCCACAGCTTACCTCTGCGGGGTTAAGGCTAATGAGGGCACTGTTGGTGTGAGTGCAGCAGCAGTTCGCTCCCAGTGTAACACCACAAAGGGCAACGAGGTCACCTCCATCCTCAGATGGGCGAAGGATGCAAGTTAGGAGGCTTTAAATTTATTATAACACTCACATATTTTTTTTATTTATTTATTTTTGTTTGTTTTACTATTTTTAAGTTGAAATAACTAAATTCAAGTTGCAAGAATGAATGTTATGAATGTTATGTTATGTCATGTGGCTGTTTATTTTATATTATGTGTGAGCTGAATACTCACTTCAGTGACCTAATTGCTTCAAGTGCTGACTTCAAAGTCAAAGAAAAGCTCTGTGGTCATGCTTTTTCAGTTGACGCATTTTCATATTCAGCATTTGAACTTTTAACCTAGATGACTGAAATCCATTTGACTGAAAGAACTGTTTTATGGCCTGCTAATTCAGAAAAAGTTGTCAAACTTTTGTTTGTCATTCATGACCTTTATGTACCTCTATTAAAAGTATAAATGACGTAGTGCTTTATTAGGACACTCCGGTATTTTACACCCTCAGCGAAGCCCAGCCCGCTATCTAGCAACCCAAGCTGAGTTCTAGCATGATTTTGCTACTGTATTTGCTATACAATGGCTGCTGGAAACACATCTAATGTGGCTTTAGATGTCCTCAACTGTATTAAAATCTTTTCACTTCATTCATCCTGGTCGAATCACAATCTGTTGCAAATGATTAGGTTCGAAGAGATAGAGTTGAGTGATAAAATAATGTAAGTCACCAGTGTCACTGTTCTTCATTCAGAAATGAAGCCCTGATTCAGACAACTCTCTCTGTGTCGACACTGCAGAAAAGTCAGTGGGAATTGTGACAACAACACGAGTGAACCACGCGACGCCGAGTGCCGCCTACGCCCACTCCGTGGACAGAGACTGGTACTCTGACAACGAGATGCCAGATGAAGCACTGCAGTCCGGCTGCAAGGATATCGCCAGGCAGCTGTTTGAAAACATTCCCTACATTAATGTGAGTCAGAGTTCCAGCAACAACTTTTAATACTGTGAAATGAAATACCATTTTTAATTGCAATGCAAACAGTTCTTTGCAACAAAGTCAAAATGCTTTGCTATGTATTCTTATAAAAAGCATTATTATTTAAAATTTTAGCCTTACGAGTTGTGTTTCAAATACAAGAAGCTTTTCAAAGAGTATTAAATCTAATTTTCCACTGTTTAGGTGATTATGGGTGGAGGAAGGAAATATATGTTCCCTAAAAACATGTCGGATGTAGAATATCCAGATATAACAAAGCATAGCGGCACACGGAAGGACAAAAGAAACCTGGTGGAGGAATGGAAAAACAGAATGAAGGATGAAGTAATTGTTTTATTTGTTCTGCTCTTGTTTTCTCACTTCCCCAATAACATTTTAATATTTTCATGTTCAAAAAGGACTGCAATGTTAAAAGTATTTTTAATTCCAATGAACAGAAGGCCCATTATGTATGGAACAAGGAGCAGCTCAAATCTCTGAATCCAAAAAATGTGGATTACCTGCTGGGTATGTTTTACTTTCATTATGAGACTCTCATTGAAGTGTAAATGATGAGATATTGCTCTTTGCATTTGCTGTATGCCTATTATGTGTGTAATAACTAGCTTCTTTTTGTCTGCTCCGGCAATTTTTTCAGGTCTTTTTGAACCTTCAGATATGCCTTACGACTTGGACAGGAACATCGATACTGATCCTTCACTGACAGAAATGGTGGAGGTAGCCATCAAGATCCTACAGAATAACCCCAATGGATTTTACCTCCTTGTAGAGGGTATGCACTTGACTCTGTTTGCTCTGTCAGTTAGTTGATGATGGATTTTTTTTTTGGAGGATCACCTAATCTTTCTTTCTATGAAATCTCAGCACATTTTCCCTTGTAGGAAGTATTTGTTTTTTAGATGATATGATACTGGTTGTAGAAAAATAAACAAACTTGAAAAACACAGGTTGCTGAAGATGCATTGTGGTCCAGAGGCAAACAAAACTGGCAAATTGCTTCCTGCAATTAGGACAGGAAGGAAGAGTACTATTAGCAATACATTAGAATGAAAGAGTAGTAAGGGGGTGCTTCACAGTTAGCCTTTTCCAGAGCTTTATTTGTGTTTAAAAAAAAATTAAAGTATTTGTTACATACAAGCATTCACTCCAGAGGTCTGGTTTTGTTTTCATGTTACATACAAACTAGTGGTGGAACTCGGTTAACGTCGTAATAGAATTAATTGCAATTTGCTGCATTCTTAAAAAGCATACATTGCTCAACAATCTCAATTCAAAGGCCATTTTTGCTGCTAACTTATTAGCAGTAAAAATCCCTTTGAATGATTAATATAGTCATTCAAAGGAGTTGGGGAATTAAGAATGAACTCTCAGAGTACTACAATACAATGTAAGATTTGATTTAATGACCTGCAACCTGCTTTCCTTGTAAAACGTAAATCTGTTTGACAGGAGGACGCATTGACCACGGACACCATGAGGGCAAGGCCAAGCAGGCCTTGCATGAAGCTGTAGAAATGGACAGAGCCATCGGACTTGCAGGTCGCTTGACCAGCATTCATGATACCCTGAGTGTTGTTACTGCAGACCATTCTCATGTTTTCAGCTTTGGAGGCTACACACCGAGAGGAAACACAATATTTGGTATGTAAAGGAAAAAGTGATATATAAAGTGTAGCTGTGAGATTGTATTTTCAAGCTCTGTCTTATCCGTAATGCTGTCTCCACAGGTCTGGCCCCCAAGACAAGTGATGTCGATCACAAGTCTTATACCTCCATTTTGTATGGAAACGGACCTGGTTACAAACTTATCAAAGGTGAAAGAGAAAATGCTTCTGTTGCTAAATATGGTAAGTAGAAGTTTTGGTTTTGCTCAAGTTTGGGATGTATTTACATCAGCTGCATTACAAATCAAACCAAACAATGATAAAGCTGTATATCCCAGTTTTGCACTGAAGAGATAGTTACATTTGTTGAGCTTGCAGTTGGATGACAATAATTATGCAGAATCCAGTTTGATTCTTTTTCTTCAAAGAAAGTAATTTGAACATGCCTGAACAAATTAAAGCTGTTCTCTTTTAAATAAAAGTATATTACTGCTGACAAAATTCAAAACTATTCTGATTTTGGACTGCAAAGTGTTAAGCAGGAAAAGGCATTCATTCATTCATATCAATAAAGGATCCTCACTTAGTAGGAGTAAACCTTTGTTTACAGCAGCTGTGGTGAAGAAATCAGACTAATTAACTGCTTAAAGCATTTGTTTCTTATTTAACTTTAACATCTGTCCTTTAATATATCATTATGCCAAATGGCATGTTTGGCACCAAAACAAAAGAACACCATATAATGAGTTAAATGTTGTGGTGGCAGCATCAGGCTCTGGAGTTAATATTATTCAAATGGATGTCTTTGTAACAAATTAACACAATTCTATGTTATTTTCAAGGAGAAATTATAATTATAGATAATGACTACACTGTTAAAAGTTAACATTTTATCAGTACTTTCTGCACTGTTGGTTGCCACTGTATTATTACAGATAATACAGTACTTCATGCTCCATTGTGTATCTGTCTTGCAGATGAAAAGAACTACCAGGCCCAGGCAGCTGTGCCTCTGAGCTCGGAGACTCATGGAGGAGAAGACGTGGCTGTCTTTGCCAAGGGTCCCATGGCTCACCTGCTGCATGGGGTGCAAGAGCAGAACTACATCCCCCATGTAATGGCGTATGCGGCTTGTATTGGCCAGAACAAGAATTCCTGTGTGTTGAAGGATGGAGCAGTGGGCTTAACGCCAATGTTCTCCAGCATTGCAACCATTCTCACAATCACCTGGCTGCTGTGCTGACCCTCCTCAGACACTTTGACCTGTTAATGTCGTTCTTAATCAGGTTCACATTTAAGGTTTTAGCATTTGTGTTTTTCATTTTGCAATGTCTCTTTGTAATATTTTTGTAATGCGATTGTTTTCACATAATTAACCAGCAAAATCACATTCTATTGTCCAGCAATTTAAAAAAGCGCCTGCCCCCCATTATTTTGTAATTTTTCAAATATTTTTTTTTTTAAACCAAAACACTAGTACAGTGTCTTCAGTTCAGGGAAGAAGGCAAGTAGATAAGAAAGATTGCTGAACCAGATAGTCTTAGGATGCAGTGAGAGGGATTTGAGGGATTTGTCAGCCAACTTTCAGAAAAATAAAATATGTGAAATTACAGGGAAAAATGTCACCCTGTTTCTCACCTTCCTGCCACACAACAAGAAAAAATACATGCATTCTATTGAAAATCTTAAAGGGGATGTATAATGCAAAAATCATATTTTGCACATTTTTGTACTTCCATTTGGGTCTCTACTGCTTCCAAAAACAGCACAACAAAACCATTTTCTGGCAATAAGTCAATGTTTTTTGGTGTTTATAAAATGAAGAGTTTCAAAATTCTCCAGAATGTAATGTCACAAATTATCTGGCAACTGCTCCTCACCTCGCAAATTCATGTACAATTGCAAATGTTGCATTGAAGGTGGCTTGGCCAGCAGCAGCTTATCTGGATTTAAAGTGACACCAGGTCTGACAGCAGCTCATTCTCAGAAGAGCATAAAAATGGCTATACATGTTTTGTATAGCCATACTTATCCTATCTTGGTCAGAAAGTGTAATATATCACCTTCAAAAAAGCTTTTATTTTTATTGATTCTAATTATTTTACACTGTGCAGTTACTTAAAACTCGACAAGTTTAATTCAAAAATATTCTGACCAATAAAAAAATTTTTATTACAGAAATATGGGTGTGATAAAACGTATGTTTATTATCTGCTTCAATATGTGTGTGTGTTTTTTTAAGTTACTGTTAATCTTAAATAAGCCTCATGCGCTCACCTAGCCCATGAGACTAGGTGAGCCTAGTTCATACAGTCATATTTACTGAATTTGACTATGAATTATTCTGTTCAACCAGTTATGCAAAATATCCTGAAGCAATGTAAGGAAGAGCTCACAATAACAGAAACAGCACTACAGCTTCAGTTGTGGACTCTCTTTAAGGGGTATAGAGCAAGTTCAGCCATGTATTAAAATGTTGGGTTTTCATTACTCTGGGATGAATGTCTGAACTTGTTTTATGTTGTACAACAGAATGAACAGAAACTACCTGAGTAATTCTTACTCATTGGAACATTTTGTTTTCAGGAGGCAACTTTTTCCTGTCTGAGCATAACAGAATCCCTTTGTCAAACTGACTCCAAGGACATATATTTTAAAGTTGAACACTTTCCATTCTCATGAACACAAGATAGCTCACCCATTATTTTCTTCAATCAGAATCTGTACCATGTTACCGATAAATTTTGATTTCCGATAAAGTATTTGGCCTTTATCTATTATATGAGAATATAAATGTTTGTTTTTTGACATATTTTTAGAACTTCAACAATAAAATCAATATTGTTGAATATTCAGCTTAAAAACATTTTTTAACTTCAGATAAAACATGAGAAATTTCTTCATATGGTTGGTGACTCATCATTTGATTAGCACACCAAATTTGACATTTCCCACCAGTTCTCCTTGTCTTCCTCATTCCTGTGTATCAGGAGGAATATCAAAGGGCCAAAGTTGGCAGGAGCACAGAAAATGAGATGCATATACAAACGGATATGAAATTACCATGTTGTCACAATACATTTTTAATGGGAAAAATACTAGTTTATAAAACATTGATGCTATTGATGTTCTGAAAGTTCATCGTCTCTAGCAAGTGTATTTTAGTTTCATACAAAAAATAGATATGCAGTATTGATATGATAGCAGTACATGTTTTATATTTGAATATTTGTTGTAATTGTGACTGATTGGTAAGTACTCATATTCAGTTTTGTTATAATAGTGTCAAAAGAATGTTTGAAGTATTCCAAAGGTACTTCAAACTTCAGGTATTTCAGTTCCTGATTTACTTCTGATAGAAATATTTGTTTGTTAAAAAGAACAACAGAAATCCTTGCTTGCACGTCAGCAAGGAGCAAATGCAATGAGTCAGGTCACAGCATTCTCTAACAAAGACTTTATCTTGCTTATATACACTTCCTACATACTTTGCACAGATGTAAGGTGGTGTTTTTGCAACCCCACAAAAATACCTAGAAACTATTGTTCCTCATCTCGCAAATAGGAAATTAAGTTAGTCTTTCTACATACTATAAGTGCTGCTTTGTGTAATCTTCTCTTCAACCGTCAAAACCTCATGTTATTCTGTACCCAGAGTGTGTCTAGAAACAAAGGCCAACAAATAAGTAAATGCTAAATCAGATCAATGCAATCAGTAACTCCAACGGACTCGTGGATACCATAAACATAATAATATTGAACAAACAGTTTTTCAAGAACTTTGATTTAATTCAAATAATCTCTAAAGAGCATGACATATGGCCTATGGTTGAAGAACACCCTCCTGCATTCAGGTAGCTGAAGCAAACTTCTTCTGCAGCGTAACCAGGCTTTGTTCACCTGCCCAGTGGAGGTCATTTTGAAACTGCTGCTTCCGTCCAGCTAATAAGGTAATTAAGATGCTCCAGGTTCAGATAAATTATGTAATTTCTGACCAGCTCTTTAAAGAGCTGATGAGTATCATTGAGGAAAAGAATGGTTGGATTTTCTTGCTGGACCTGTTGCTTGAAATGACTGGAGGATCATAAAAATGATTGGCTGGATGTTTAGAAAGAAATGCAGCTGTAAAGTTATGTTTTCATTCTCAACATTCTTTACCTTAACTTCCTCATGGTGCAGAGAGTACTGAATCCTTGTTTATTTTAATATCTTAATCGTATACCCTTTCAACACTTTTTTGAGGTGCCTCAGCTGCTTCATAAGTAATAATCAGAAAGTTTCTTTTGTTCTTCTGGGTTACCACAAATGGGTCGATGACAATCCTGTCTTACTTAATCTCTTTTGATTTCAGAGATCAACAGCAGGTGTTAGGCAATGTCACAGTGTGAACTTTGTCTTATTCACACATTTTGTGTTTGAGTCGGTGTGTCATCTAGTTCCAGAATAATGAAACAATCTAGTTCCTAACATGATGAAATGTACAATGAAACCTCTGAAATTATTGTGTTGTGGTCATTGTTCTTTGAACTTTTCATCCTTGTAAAAAGTTAAAAGGTGAAGGAGAAGAATAGTTACTTTTCCTTGCAGATAAGGTGTACAGATACTGTGGACAGGAAACATTGTGGCCTTATTAAATAGAGGATTACAGAACATCAAAAATAATAAAAAAGAGCGAATCTGAACTCAGAAACAGAACAGATGCAACAAACATATATATGTTTTTATATATTTAGAAATGTAAACACACAAAAATAAAAAACCTATTTGTTATTTATTTCAAATATGCAACAGTTTTGTATCTGTTGGAAAAGCTGGAGTAACTCACAATGAAACCAGTTTTTTCAAACGTGCTGCAGAACCATAAATAGATTAAAACTACAGAACTTTATGTTCCCATCTGCCTAAAGTTCGACATGTAACAAATAGGTCAGCCATAAATTTTAAAGAAATAAAAATAAAACTTCAAAGACCAAAAGCTGACTGAACATGAGCACAGACCTCATAATTTAAAGATCAGCCTCACACGATTCAAATAACACAAACTGTACTTTCACCTCATTATTTATGCAGGAGAAAATTATATTTTGGATTTCTGCCTTTCTTAACACTGAACTCAATCTAGATATAAAATGACACTGCATGTCATGGTAAAATTGAAATGATATATATCTGGAATCATCTTAAAAAGTTTCCAGAGTGCCATCCAAGAATAAAATGCCTTTAAGCAACAGAAATGAAATTGCTCTTTGAGACGCCACCTCAATTACTGCTCAGGGTTGAGTTTCAGTCAGTTGATTCTTCATCCGTCTCAGACCATTTGATTCAGTCACTTTTGCTTCTAGCTGGGGTGTTTTGTATCAGCTAAGCTTTTTGGATCTTTATCAATGAACCTCATCTGATTTTTTCCCCCCCAAAGAAATCCAAGAAATCAACCTTAGAAAGCACAAGGCTGCATAAAATACCTTGTTTTTACCTCTACTGTTTTTGAAGATTTGATTTTTCAAGTGCAGAGATTTTTTATAAACAATTTATAATTTCTCCATAAATGTTTATGATGCCATATTCTAATAAAAAATGGTCCTTGTAGACAAATGACACATCTTTTTTGACACATTTGTAACACCTCTTTGTCTTAGTAAAACCTATAGGGAGCAAGGAGGCATGAAAGGCTCAAAGCCAATGTTGCTTCTCTGAGATATCAAACAATAAAGTTGTAGAGATGAGTTGTTGAGTAGGTGTGAAGTAGAACGGGAGTGCAAACAGCTACCGATTGTAACACTTTAGAAGTTGCAATGACTAAGGTAGCACACAAGAGCTGAAAATGGGGTGTTGGACGTTCAAACAGTGCTCTATTTAGCCAAATGACCTGCTGAAATTTGCTGGTTCAATACTGACTTATGAAACGTATTCCGAGCTGCATTTCCATTACAAATGTGTGGGAACTTTGTCAATATTCCATAAATATTGAAAAAACAAAATTTTCTAACTGTGGTGTTTCCATTAAATAAGAAACACAATTGAAATTACACATGAGTAAGGTTGTTCACATGAAAAGTCATTCAAAAATATGCCTCCCATCATCCTCCTACCACTTCCTGTTGTCTTTGTTGTCTCTTCCATCAGTAATAACATCGGGGTATGTTGATCACATGACATATGTGATGCAAAAAATGCTGCAGTTTTGTGAAATACACTAATTTCGCCACATCAAAAACCAACTATTATAATGTTTTTCTTCTTTGATGCCATTAACATTCCAGTGCAAAAACTTTTTATTGAAAAAAGTTAACTTTGCCAAAATTGGCTTGTTTCCTTTAAGTGAATTAATTTTTATAATTACAATTTGCTCAATTTTATGCTCAATGGAAATGCAGCTATTGTCTTTTGAAAAATCCACAGAGGAAGAGCATCAGTGGAGCTACTGTTAACGACATGTTTAATGACCAGACTTTTTTTTTCTTTTTTTTTACCAACAGTCTGTGCTTTGCTACCATGAATAAAATGGCAAAAAAGTTTATCAAAAAAGTAACCTTTAAACATATTAATATTGGAAGAAAAATGTGCAAGCTTAAACAGTCTTCGCAAAAAGGTCAAACACTCCCTGGTTTTTGAGAAAACCATATGCAAATATGACAAGAAAGTAGTAATATTAGTGAAAACAGCAAGCAGTCACTGTGGAACTGGAAGTCTTATAAAATTCAACTTGAAGTTGGAAACTCAACAAGCCCACAGAGGCCCATGAAGTCTGAAATGTAACTCCTGGATGTTTCCATTTATTTTCCAGGTTCTTTAGGAGTTAAGAAATTGCAAAAACATCCAAGTGTTAGGAAAGAACATGGCAGCAGGTTGACAGCAGGTTAGCAAAGTGTCTTTTAAACAAACCAGTCTGTAGGAAACAAACCGGTTATATTTTCTACTTCCCAAAAAATGAAACCGGAGATTTTGTAGATTATCAAGTTTGTAACACAAAAAAGACTAAAGCTGCTGTAATGTCCCACATCTCAGCCTGATTGAAATGTTGCAATGAACCATTAGGAGAGACAGGCAAAACGTCTCCACAAAGTCTATATTTTACAACATTTGAAAAAGTAGGTCAGCGTTTTCCCACAATAATGTGAGAGAAGTCCATGATCAAAAATGACTGCTGGCGATTTCCACAGTGGAGGAAAGGAGCTTTGGTTTTTATTACCCATGTTGGCTCATTCTTGTTAAATAAATAA